ACCGATTAAATTTGGGAGAGCGTATTTTAATTGGTGATAACAATTATTTTTGTTTTGCGTGGATCAGAATGAATAGGGGATCAACGAATTGATTTTGGTATTAGCGAATAATTTTGTTTAAAGAAGATAAAAGTTTATTTAAATAAAATATTACTATTTTATTTATTTAGTTTTATTTAGTTGAAACTAATTAACTTGTTATCGAGTTACTTTTACATTAGGTCGAAATCAAGTCCTTTATGTACATGTCAATTAATTATAAGCCCATTTGGGTTCTGGAGCCCGTTTGGGTTCGCACGCCCGTTTGGGTTCATGAGCCCATATGGGCGCATCGTCACTAATTTCTACTAAATATAGTTAAATAAATCAAATAAATAACAAATGAATATACGAAACATAACACAGGTATAAACGATAATAACAAGTTAATAAAATAAAAATAAAAATATAAAAATGATAAATATAAAAATAAATAAATGAAATTAAAAATAAATAATAAATAAAAATAGAAATAGAATTAATTTGACCCGGAATTACGAGATTCGTCCAAAATATCTTCGTCAGAATCTAATTCCCGGTAACAAATGTACGCGAAAGTTTATTGATATTAGTGGTAATAATGATAGAGTGACAATGATAATATGACAATGATAATGATAATGATAATGATAATAAACAAGAATTGATATACTTATAATAGACAAGAAACTATCGCCTATATGACTGTTCACATTTCATCATAACATTGCCGTCCGTTTTTTTTTTATCAAAATTAAAATTAAATAGAGAAAAATTGCGAATATCGATCAAATAAAAGAATATTTTTTCAAATACGATTGAACGATTAATGTAAAGTGATAATCAACATTCCAATTCTTTATTTTATTGATTTTTAAATAGTTTGTATAGGAGTGATCGAAGTAAGCATTAAAGACAAGATCTATGAACAAAATATACTAACGAACGTTTTATCAATTATTCAATAATTTGTGTAGGAGTGATAGAAATAGGCTTTAAGGACAAGATCTATGAACAAAACATACTATCAAACGTTTTATAAATTATTCAATAGTTTGTATAGGAGTGGTCAAAGTAAGCGTTAAGGATAAGATCTATGAACAAAACATACTAACGAACGTTATATCAATTATTCAATAGTTTGTATAGGAGTGATCAAAGTAAGCGTTAAGGACAAGATCTATGATCAAAACATACTAACGAACGTTTTATCAACTAT